AGAGACCCAAAGCATCCTCTCTCTAGCGACCCCCTACCATCATCGCCAACCTGAAGAAGGATCTGCTCCGCTCCATTCTCGGTTAGCAGTTTGAAGCTTCCAATGGCCATCCTCTGTTCTTCCAGTTTCAATGACGATTGGGTCGCTGTAAGAATCATCAATTTTCATAAAAACATAAAGTGGACTGATTCCACTCCTCCGCCTCTTGCTTTTGGAACGCTGCAGATCTTCTAGAATAAAGACATGAAAGGAATGGTGATTGGGCAGGGGCTTCGGTGGGGATGACCGGAGAATATGAAGAATCGTGCGGGAGGAAGAGTGAAAGATCCGGAGATTTGGAGTCCACACAAAATTCCTAGGCTTTTGGTTGGATTTGAAAACAAAATTTTTATTTATACTTCAAGTCTAAAATCCTTCACAATCCATATTCTATAACAATCTTTTAAAATCTATCATTTTTTCAATATCATTAGATTTAGAAAGATTTTTTAAAATCTCTGTTCAATACCTACAGATTTTAAATGATTTTTTAAAATCTCAATTGAATACACACATACTTTTAAAATCCAAAAAAAATCCTACAGAATCTCGATTGAATACACCCTCCTTAATGTCACGAAAAATGCATGGAGTCAATGAATAGATCCTTCATAAGGCACAAGATGGTTCAGTAAACCTCTTCCCTACACCCTTGTGCAACCTCTTGACTTTGATGTAGGTCTCTTTCACATGGTTTGTCCTCTGATCATGGAAGTTGGTGCTCCACTTACAAATATCTCTCACAACTCTAAGGCACTTGACATGGATGATCCTGAAGAAGATGCTTCTCTTATGAAAGAATAGTTCCGATTTGTTACTTTATTTTTTTATTTTATTTCATGAAAAGTTGTTTTTTTATGTTTCTCCACCTTTTAGGTAATGCCCAAAGGGGGAAGATGTTGATGTTCTTCGTGTTTTGTTTAGTTCAGTCTATATCAAATAAAATCATTTTTACCCTATCATTTAAACAGAGGGAATGCTTTCATATATTTAGGAGGAAATTTTATTAATTATTATTAATAATTATTATATTGAAACCAACGTTTCTGGTTCTTGACACTTATTAGTTTTACTTTTGTCTAAAAAACACACATTCATCATTATCAAACATGGAGAAAATATTGTCCCTTGTGTTTTGATCAATGAAAAACGTAATATTTATGGAGGAAGTCAATGGGACTACAATGATGTATGAATGTTTGACAAGACGTACAATATCAAGAAGCATTCAAGACCTCAAGATTTGAAAACATAGGTTTAGTATGTCTTTTGGGGTTCTTAGATTAATTTGTATGAATATGGAAACTCTTTTATTTCTAAAACTCAAAATCTTTTCTAAAAGATATTTTCTTTAACAAGAAAAATATTTTTTCATATAAATTACCTTACTCTCATTTTTCATTAAATAAATTTTATTTTCTACATAAACTTATACATATTTTTTATTTACTTATTTAATTTTCTATTAAAACATAGATTATTGCCTAAATAATTTGTTTATTTATTTATGAATAAAAATGTTCATTTGAACTAATTTTCTATATTTTATTTAAGTAGTTATTTTCATAATTATTTTAAATATAACATATAACTACCTTCTATCCTATTCGAAACCTAGCATATCAAAATTAATAAATTAAAGATAGTTTAATTAATAAGACAGACTCGGTGGAATTATGGAATATTCTTCGTTTGATAAAAAAAGTTTATGTAATGCCCTACAAACCGACCTAGTTTTAAATAAAAAAATATTATTTATTTATTGAGACTCATTATTTTAAATTAATAAATATTGAGATTTCGATCTCTTTAAATGGCTTTCCAAAGCTAATGTATTTTAATATAAAAAGATGTTTTAATAACGGACCTCTCAACATTAATTAAATAAATTAATTAATGATTGGGATGGACCCGGAAGTTTGAAAATAAAGTTCTTAGAAAAATTATTTGAACATGTCATTAAATTCGTTTTGACTGTCTAATTTCAAAAACGCAAATGGATCTCAATTCGGACCCGTTCGGGGGGAAAAGCGCGTACTGTTCAGGTCAGATTTTTAGATAACGGAATAGAATTTAGGGAATTAATTTCCCATTCATTCCCACACGCCTTTTACTCTCCCATAACCCCCCATTCAATACCCCTTTTAATTCCCTCCATTATTCCTCCATTAAATCTTTTTCAATATAAAACTCTCTCATCTCTTCACTTCCCCATCACATCTTGTAACTTCATAACATCCATCTCTCCCTCTTCCCCTCATTTGTTTCGGCCAACCAACATCAGCAGCCAGAGGGAGAGTTTCCGGCGAGTAGACGAGGAGGAAGAAGAGAAGGAGGTGTTCACGAGAAACAGTTCGTCGTCATCCGTTCATCTCGTTTTCCGTTCATCAACCCCTTCAAAGAGAGGTGAGTAGTTGTCCCCTCTAATTCTAGAATATCAAGTTATAATCTATGTTGTTATATTCATAGGAATATCGTACGCAACCTACGTAGAATCTATGCATGTTCATAGGTTAGCCATCAAAACGTTCGCTACGTAAAAATCGTATATATTGGCCTAGGAATCACTAGGAATACATTCATAAATGTTTACATTATTGTTCTAAAAATAATCAAGGCATTAAATGGATCAAATCGAAGCCAAAGTCAATGGACTGTCTACGGGACGGTCGACCGCCGCTAAGGACAGTGGACCGTTTCCCTTGATTGTCCGTCGGCCACCACCGTAACGGTCGACCGCCGACCGCGACGGAAGACCGGGGTGGACCGTCGGCATTCCAGACCTCCATAACATAGCCCACGGTTGACCGCCAGTAGGGTACGGTCGACCGTTTCCCGGGCAGAATTCCGGGCAGGTTGTAGAATAAGCCCGTTGACCATACTGACTCAGAATCTGATTGTATGTTTGCATGAAATGATAATCTTCATCATGTATGTTATTTAATTGATATATTCTTGGCGTTGACCAAAGGTAAATATATCAAGCATTCATCATGTTCATTCTAGACGCATGTCCTAGGTTTATCATCATGTGCATACCGCTGTAGGGAGGTCAGGCTTTCGTGCGCCTACTACAGTGGGCCCGTCCAGGAACCTTTGGGATCCAACGGGTTTTCATCAGGTGGGCTTTGTGTACGTACATGGTAGTCAGGCTACGGCTACCACCCAGTTTTGCTAGTTCACTTGCGACGTTTTGTCGAGCCCGGGTCATTACCGGAGTGCAGGGGTGATCCTGTCAAGTGAGACTAAGTCAGGGGTGTCCCTAATAGCTTAAGTCATGCACCAAGTCATATTGTCATCATGTATGTTTTATGTCACGTCAACATTCAATGTGGTTGTCATCATCATGTATGATTCTTATCATGTCCATATTCAATGTGGTAGTATATCATTTTGTTATGTGTAATAATATCCCATCAAGTACAAATTAGTCAGTTAGTAAATATGTGTTTTTCCGTACGTTAGTACATGTATTAACATGTGTATAATCATATGGGTTATCACTTTATGTTCTTTTGTTAGATTCACTCCTCAACTTTTGCTGACCGTGTAGTTGTTTTTGCTACACGCAGGTAGACATGACGGTACAGGTGCTAACCCTGGAGGACATTGTTAGAATAAAAGACCAACGCTAGAGGGGGGATGAATAGCGTTTGATCGGAGAAATCGCAGGAATTAAAAATTTAAAAGAGAAGTAAAGAGAAGAGTAACAGGCACACCGAATTTTACCCTGGTTCACCACAACTTGTGGCTAATCCAGCCTCCCGAGAGACTCTCTCGAGCTACACTACTAACTCGTTAAGCTTACGGGTGCTTAACAAACCGTTACAACTTGAGAGTTCGAGTCACACGAACCTCAACGAATCCTTCAAAGGAAACAGACCTTCCTTTGAATCAACCGAGAGAAATACTATCTCTCAACGTGTCTAATAACACAAGTACACTCAAGAACGAGACTCTCTTATAGAGTAGATTATGAGTAAACTAAGTACGCTCAAGAACAACTCAACCTTCACACAAGTGGCTCTAGAAAGCTATGGAAAATGATGATATTTGAATGCAATGAAAGTATAGATGTTGTGAAGTGAATTGGTGAGAAAAGCAGACCCAAACACCCCTTTTTATAGTGC